TGTAGACGTGGTTACAGGAAGAAATTTCGGTTGTTTTGAAATCGAAACACTTGCTATTCGGGCTGATCCAAGTGTTTTGTTGTATACACGGAAATTTTAGCCAAACTGCGGAGTCTTGTAAAATTTATAACAAAAACCCCCTTCAAGCAGATGTCCTTCTGGTTTACGTCTTGAAAAAACACGGCAAAGATATACATCGGCAATTAGATTGTCAAACGTGATGATCAAGCATGTCCGATATGACCGAAATGTTTTTATAGCTAAAATGTTGTAAAACTTACTGCTCTGTCATTATGCCAACGTGATGCGACTCTTTATACAGCGGATAGGCCATTAAAGTTAATGCTCAAAAAGCTAGACGAACAGAACATTTCTTGAGCTCTAAACTTGGGACGAACTTGTGAAGTCGTATCAAGCAACGAAGATTGTTGTTAGCAGGTGTACTGCACTACTTGCATGATTTGGAAGACTTTTTCGCAGAAACTGATGATGACACTTTTCCTAAGCCTGACAGTGAAGAAATTTCTGACTTAGTCATCACTTTACTACGCCAGCTTAAATGCAAAGACACATCCAGTGAGACCAGCACTTCCAATACCACTCCTGCAGACACTGAAGGGCAATAAAGAAACGTTTCGTAGTCTTCTGACGATAACATTCTCCAAGAGCAAACTCTGTGAGACCAGCTTGATATCGAACTCAATAAATCTAAAGAATCACGCTGCAAGTTATGTACCAATTTTGATTTTGCAGGATTTATAAAAGTAAAGCAAGCTATGTAGGTATGGCAACGGGGGAAATCGAAGCATCTAACCGAGGCATTTAAGTATATTTCTTGTTCTGCCTACAAGTGTAGAAAGTAAGAGAGTATTTTGTGTCCTGTTTATTTTTGTAATCGGATATGACGCTGACTGTCTGATAAAATGTTGGATGCATTATTGTTCTTGAGAACTCATTACCAAGAACAGCGTTTCCTTTCAAAAACATAATTATTGCTTAAGTTAGTCAAGTATTAACATATATTTGATTGTTTTCTATATATAGTTGATTATATTTCAGTTTATTTTGATAAATATTGATTCTTTGTTTTGGTAAGTATTAGTAGTCTATTAAACTCGTTGTCGTATTATTTAAAGAGTTCATTTTTGTTTCTACATTATATTACAAAATTGTTTTTAGCCTATAAGCTAAAGCACGAGATATTAAAGTTTGATTTATATTAAGTGGATTAAAAAAATCATGTCAGTTAGACAAGTATGTTGTTGATTTTTTTCAGTTTAGTTGATAAATATTGATGTTTCATTTTGATAAATAGTAGTAATTGAACTCGTGGTTTTAAATGTTCTTTTTGTTTCTATATTACAAAATTGTTTTGTCTGATTTATATTAAATACCTAAGTGATTAAACATTTTATTTATTTTTATGATGATTAACGGACTAGTTTAGTTAAGTCGATTAAAAGCCTTATATATATAAAAAAAATAGTAGTGTGGTCTCGTTCACCAGAAATCAAACAATAAACAGTCACTGGCGGATGTTCGCATTCCGGAACTGGTTCCGATATTGGATGTCCAATATCGAAATTAGTTCCGGAATTGAAAACTTTCCGATATCGCATGCCCTAAACTGCATTAATGTGTTGGTTATGAGGGGGAAGGGAAATCTGCGAAAAAGTTACGGCTCTTGATACTAGGAGTGCCGAGCCTCCTTGCCCGTCTGTCCTGTCGTCGCGGGGACACGAAAAACCTGGAAACCGTACTCTATCGCCTGACATTACGTCGCATCTCCTGGGCTGCGTAAACGTCAGGAGAGTATTTATTGAGTAGGAATTTAATTTCATATTCTTTATTCCTGCTGCTGCGAGAGTTCCACTGGAGAATGGGAGCCATTGGAGCAGGTGAGATGAATGAGCTGAGACAGTTGATCTTTGAGGTTGTTCGGTAGTCGGACGTCACTAAAATGCCCTAAGAGATAATGATGGTCGAGAGGAGAAGAGAAATTAAATTATCATTAGGCATTGAGGAGTTATTTGGGAGTGCACATCCATTTCCTAGTTGAGAACTAGGAGACATAACTATGTCTCTATGAGCTTGTTGATTGTACCCTGGACTAGAAGCTGGGAGGGGTTGGTGCCTAGGAATAGCTACTGTTTGCGGTAGGAAGTGTATTGGGGAGATGGATTGCAGGGAAAAGTATACTGAGCGATAGGTGTAGGCTGATATTCATTTAAATCAAGGCTCGCTGTGTCAGCAAAAGATCTTCGCACTTGGATGATCTGGCAGATGCTTCAGAGTAAGAAATATTTTTCTGACACATGACCAGTTTTATTTGGTTCTGTCTTGATTGCTCATGGCAAGAGGGATCGGTGGCTTTACAGAGCACTGTAAACAGGTTGGTGTTTCTTTGGTGCAATGTAGGCCTTCATGGGTTTGTCCACAAATAAAGCAGCGGGCCTCCGATTTGCATTGTGTTTAGATGTGTCCGAACCGGCAGCACTTATTGCATTGAATTGTGGGATATGTTTCCACTGGGAGGGAAGTAACAAAATAGTAGACATGGGAGGGAAGTTTTTGACCTGAGAAGGTTAGTACCACTGTCTGGATGGGAACCCATACAGGTGACCCATTACTGTCGTAGGTTTTCCTATTAAGTCTCTGTATCTTAACAATAGATCCATAACCACTCGGAACTTCCACTGCTTCAACTAATTCCTCCAGCGTCCATTTAACTGGAAATTGTCGGACAATACCCTTTCTAGTTATGCTGTAACTTGGAGTAATCGCTTCATGTTTGGCTGGAGAAAGAGCTGGGTGGTCAAGGAAAGCATTAGCATCACTGAAAGTTTTGAATTCAAGAGTTTGATACCATCTCTGATAATATTTTTCACATTGTTCCTAAACAAAAAATGGCCAAATTTAATGGGGCGTAATGCGGTGCCAGAAGAGGGATCCCATACTGTTTTGCTCACATGTACATACTATGAATGGGGCGATATCTTGTGCCATGTACTTGTTTTTGTTGTTTGAGAATTTTGGGTTGGTGAAAGTAAATTGGGTGGACTTAACAGACTGTGAGGTATTGGTTTTTTAGGAGGTTGATTCCACGTTAGTGGGGGCTCGTTTCATAGGCTTTGGATGATCTTATCTACTTCCATTACCTCATTCTGAGATTGCGAACAGGCGAGAAAATGACTGCGCACGTGCATCAGCATCGCCTACCCACGGATCGGGAGGATCAGACATTTACAACACAGTTAAAAAGCTTTTACTTACCAATACTATTAACAACACTCATAAACTATTTAAATAGATACATAAAATAAGTCAACAGGGAATATAAAATAAAGAAATTAGCCAAAAGCACACTAATTTACATAACTAGCTAGCACTCAAACTAACAGCAGAATCCTTTTCTCAAAAAAATATAGCATTCCTTCTTCTTTTTCTCTTTGCTTAATAAATTAATACCCTTTAGATTTCGCCAGTATCGAGTTTTCCGCTTAGTAATTTTAAGGGTATAGCACTCCGTATCGGCAGCTATGCTGTCTCAATAGGTGTGGAGAGAGGTGCTGCAATCCTCTCTCCACACCTATTGAAACAGCGCAGCCATGGCCATCTCAAAACGTTCTTGTAGGTATTTCCTGAATATAAGCCCTTTGGTTAATCTTTATAGTGCCGTTTATATGCACTTTCGATCTTCATGAAGGACACTAGTTTATATCCTGTAAAATACCGATAAACAGGCAACTTTACGGCGTTGATGATCAAGGCTCCTACAGCTTCACCTCTACTCATATAAGTATCAAGTAATAAGACCAATCGCTCATCGTCATAGAATGCCATAATTGTCACACATTTACGGAACACGTTGCTGGCTCATAGTTATTTAATCTTGCTAGTTCAATCTTTGTTGTGATTTGTTTAGTATGTACTATTTGTGGTTATCTGAGAAATAAATAAATCGTACAGTAATTGGATGTACCTACCACCCACATATAAACCTGGGGAAATTCTTGGGGAACTCAGATATAATGTTAAATGAGCTCATTTATGTAATAAATGCAATGACGGTCAACCATCAACTGTTTCTCGTCCCAATCAATCGGCATCAGCTATTGATATTTCTTTTCTTTTTCCTTCACTTGCTGCGTCTGCAGAACGGTTTATTTACTCCGAAGATACATTGGGTAGTTATCACTTCCCTACAACAGTTCAATTAAATAATAAATAAATAATAAAATAAATCACATATTTATGACATTTTTATTCCTTTTCAAAAATTGATATATACCTACCTAAGAAAAGCAGATTCGGTTGTACATATATACGTGTAAATCTAGTACAATTTTTAATGATCTACAGTGTGAACAAAATCATATTCAAGCTCACAATACATTCTGCTCTTTATTAAATAGCTTAATAAAAGTATATCCCTGTGCAGTGTCAGTAGTTGTAATGTAAACTTCATAAACACCCCCTGTACCATGGTCGAATGAAGTTTGTTCTAATGCAGTTAAGATTATCTCTAACGTATAGACGGTTTCCAACAATAGAAAATGAATGTGAAAAAACAAATATACGCGATTTAAATCCGGAAAAATAGTTTCATTTCTTATGTGTAACAATCGCGAAAACCTAAGTACTCGATAATAGAAAATGACTTGTATAAAAATGTAAGAGTCTAAAAACTTCTAAATAATCACGAAAATATATCTAATAGGAGTTGAAAAGATAATCTAAATGGAAAGTGAAACCAAAATGTATAAAGAAAATGAAGAATAGGCTGTATAGCATTATGCCAAAGCCGTTATATCTCTTCACAAAAAAAAAACAGGTTATATACCATTATGCCAAAGCCGCTATTTATATCTCTTCACAAAAAACACACAGTGATTTTTTGTAATGGAATCCAAGAAAGTAATTACTCTCAGTCTTGGCTGTATGACGTATTAGTGCCTTTGCCTTTTCCAATGGAAAAAATATTACTAAAAAAAACACAACACATGGTGGTTGCGTGTTGTTTTTATTCTGTAAAAAATAATCGCTTAAAAATAAACGTACTTGCCAATAAATATGGCAGAAATAGTAGACACAGAAGAGATGGACAGGGATACCGTTGATCCTAAAATTTTAAATCAGCAGTTCAGTCAGAATTATAATTTATTGACCGAAACAGCAGTGTCTCTTAAGAAATCGTATATAAACAAAATTCATGGAACGAAGTAAGTGTCTTTATAAATTAACTTGATAAATACCAACAGTTTCAAATAATGATATTAAATTTGTTCCGAAGATGTATTTACAGTGTGAAATCGAAATTATTCGTTTAAATATACTCCAGATCATTAAGGATCGCAGCAAGTCAAGTAGATGGTACCATAGAAGTGTACGAGCTGCAGCGGGCGGCATTGAACCGCATTTGTCGTCTGAGCGGGCATAGGAAAGCCCTCACGGAAATTGTATTCAGTCCCAGAGAGGACAATCTGCTATATTCTTGTGGAGAAGATGGATTGCTCAAGTTATGGGATACTAGGAGTAGTGGAAGCTGTGTGCAGGAGTACAAAAGTAATTCGCTTATTTACATATCTCATTACAAACGTCTCATGATTCACTAAAATAAATAAGATCCATGAAAACCTGTGGAGAAATAAATTAAAAAATATGTACTGTCATTAGCAGTGACCAGAATAAAGGGAGTTAACTTTTGTTAACGTAAAGAGTGATGTGGATATTCCCTTAACAAATCACAGGGTTTCTTGGAATAGATTATATTTGAATATGCATGTTATTTATTGAAATTTAAGGACATTGGCAACAAATTATTAGTTCCTATTGAGTTTTTCTTCAAAATTAATTTATTTTATTTTAAGTCTCATTTAGATTTCGACCCGTCCTATGTAAAGTATGGTCAGAATTGCCAAGTTTACATGGGAGCATTTTAAAGTTCTGAATTCACTGCAAGGAGCATAACACGTGACTAGCATTTTTCAGTTTTATTCGGCAAAGCTCGTTACTCACATAGAGTATTATAAAATTCTAGATATCAGTTAGATGATCTTTTGGGTGATCACTCGATGTGAATAATGAGTTTATTCCAGTGAATTCAGAACTTTAAAATGCTACCCTGTAAACTTGGCAATTTGACGTAAGATACTTTCAACTTCAACTTTTGTATCTATGGCTCCGTCGTTTACATAGGAGGGGTTGTTTTGTCATAATTTCTCTGACATTTAAGTGTAAAGATTCCTTGGTTATCCTCTTCCTAAATGAGTAAAATGAATAACAACAATGATATCAGATGAAGAAGAGCAGTTGGTCAGGCCATACAGCTGTATGGACGTTTCATGCAATGGGCGGGTGCTGTGCGCCGGCACACAATTGGTGGAGCATGATGCCTACCTGGTGTTCTGGGACAACCGCATGACCAAACCTCTGGGTGGATATTGGAACTCACACACCGATGAAATTACGCAAGTAAGCTAATAAATATTGGCTTGTCTGAAATAAGTAGCAATAGTAAAATTTTATTATTTTACATTCCTATTTTTTAAGGCTTTGTTTATTATGAAGACCACTGATTCCTTATACCATGAAACAAAATATGTAATAATTTCTCTTGTATTTAGGTGAAATTCCACAAAGAAAAAGTAGAAATATTAATTTCTGGGGCATTAGATGGTTTACTAAATATCTACAACATATTAGAGAAGACCGAAGATGATGCCTTGGTTTTCTCTCTCAATGTTGAGAACTCTGTAGAAAGACTGTCTTGGATGGATGAGAGGCAAGTGGCGTGCATCACACAATCTAATGAGCTGCAAGTGTGGAATAGTGACACAGGAGATCTGGTTAAGAATTACAATAGGGACAAAGTTGCTCGAGCTATAAAGGTATCTTGTATTCCCTAATCCAGCTTTTCAGTCACTGTTTATTAAACTTCGGTTTTTTCGTTCTTATAATTCATTATACTGAATATTACTGTCTTTTAAATTGTTATATGTATTTATTTGAAAAGACTTATAATTTTTATTTTCAGAGAAGTCGAGGGGATGATTGTTATTTAGTGGACACATTTACGTCAATAGATGAAACAACTGTCTTATTGGCAGGATCTTATAGTGGAAATGGGTATGCAACTTTTGTGCATTTAATTATCTTTAGAATGACAGTTGTTCACGATACAGGCGTCTTGAAGACTCTTCCCAGATTACTCAACGCAATTAGTATTATTATAGATAAGTATGTTAAGACAAATCAAGTCTCACAAAAAGCTGTAATATCACCAAAGGGTGAGTGATCTATAATCTAATCTGGACCCTGATTCAGAAAGTTTCGACATTTTAACCGAATCATTTGATTGGATATAATTCTCGAATCAAAGGGTGCTTTCCGCTCTTCAGAACATTTGAGTTAAACATTCGATTCGGATACAATATTATAATCCAACAGCGTTTAGGGAGTTGAAAAATGAAAATCCTTTTATATACATTTTTAAGACATAATTGTAGGAATGCATTAGCCTTGTGTTAAAATACATTAATAAAATTGAACAAAATCCAGAATTTATTTAAAATAATAAGAGATTTTCATATTTCCGTATTTCTTGCTTTGTAACTTATTCGATAACTGTGTTCGGAATAACGTTTGTAGCCTTTGCCGGCCAAGAACTTCAGAGTAATCGTACGGGCGTGACGTCATTTCGTTTCGGTTTCGAATACGACAGTTTGACGTTCGATTCGGGTGTTGTGCATCAAAATGAAAAGAAATCAAATCGGTCGCGTCGACAACAGAGTTATCAACCCTAATTTGATTCAATGGCATATGTTATTTAGTCTATTAGTACTATATAATAATAATAGCAGTTTGTTGTGCCACTGCGGCCCACACTGCTTCTATCAGCACCCATTAAGGAGCACCAAAAAACTCCCAAAATAATAATAATATAAAAAGATTAATTTTATTTTCTTTGGTTGAATAAATAAACAATGTAGTTCTAAATTGAACCAAAGTACCAATTTCTTTTGTCATTTTTCAGTGATATTCTACGTTCTGTTACCATAACTGACAAGAAGTTAAAGCCACATTGTAACTTCACACGGAATATACAAGTAGTTAGATGTTGTTGGTATGAGAAAGAGGTATGAGCATTATCAATTATTTATTTAGTTTCAATAGCAATGAACAGAGTTATATGACGGAATTAACAACAACAGACAGTTAAAAAAGTTAGTAAAGAGATCTGTTTGTATTAATGACTTGTCTTCATTATGTAAACACTCAGAAGCAAATTCAGACATTTAAATATTCATAAAGTAAATATTTTAAATAAATCCAGTAGACATTTTATTTGCATCTGATTTATATTTAAAGTACTACCAAACATAGTGTTCTTTCAGCTTTAAGAGTCGACACAACCTCAAATGGTTTTGGTTGATTCCGCATGACAGTGATAGTGTTGATTCCAATCACTTTGGAAAAAATATATAAAACATTCTAATTCGAGCCGAGGTAGTATCGACTCTTAACGACATATTTTAGCAAAAAATCGACTCATCCGTAGAACAAAGGTCTATGTGCAAGGCTACTTTTTCTCAGGACATAGTACATTTCGTTCGTTCTTCTTCGCTGTGGATGTCAGATCGACTGTTCTTCCATTTTATAATTTCCGAAACGAAACAAGATATATAAAATCTCAAAACACCTTTACATAGGCCTTAGTTTGAATAATGAAATTATTCTCTTAACGTACTAATTCTCTTTTCGCTTTATAATCACATCGGACTCTGTTCTTCGGATGAGTCGAAATATTCTCACGAAAAATAATACTTGCTTTTTTATCTTCAGAGAGACATTCTAGTAACAGCAGGGGAGTCAGGAATAATAAGTTTATGGAGTCGCAGTGCGGTGGCTGAGAACGGAGTCACCTCCAAGAAGCTGTCTAAGTCATTGAATAAGTTACATGTGCACCGACACAAACCATACTGACGTCTGTGTGTGATGTAGGTACTGACATTGCCTCTTGTACACTCGAGGTTGAGTACCACTATCTCGTTTTTTACTTAGGAATACTTACTTCTATTCCTTACATTGATTTAAACTTTCATAATATCTCACATTATTTGATTTTAAAATCGGGACTTCCCTTTGAGACCATAGACGTTGCAACACGTCCGAAACGTCGGAAGCAAATGAGTATGTTGCTATACACGATTAAGCCCTGATTTTAAAATCAATTAATTCATGTACATACCTTATTTTGTAGTTTCCTGTCATCATCACGACAGAAAGAAAACTTTACGATATTCATTAATTATTCGCCAAGTAGTGTTAATGAAAGCTACAAATGTTAATGTTATATTGGTTTACAATGCTATACTGCGAGTTGAAAGTTCTGCAAACAAATTACGTTTTACGTTATTTTAATGTTAATTGATACATTGTTAGAATTGATGACGCATTGTATAGTCAAGAGTACATCAAGCTTGACATTGTGTACTTTGGACTGTTCTTATCGTAAGCGGCATAGAGTTGCATTTAAGTCTTAAGTGTCAAGCTTGACATGCTCTTGACTGGACTTAACTATACCAGCGACTTTAGCGAGCTTAAGGAGGACACCGATATACTTGTTAAGTTTCCTTGTTTAAATGAAACTCATTATTGCGTCAATAGCATTTTATTTGAATCCCAATAAAAGCTACCAAATATTAAAAATAATTTCGCTAATATAATATTAAAGCCGCAGCCGCAGCTATACATATGATAAAATAATTAAAACAATATATACCTATTATCATGATAACGCACACTAACAGTAACAAACGTTTAAGGCTAATAATGTATTAAGAATAATCAGGTCGTGTAACTTGTTGAATGTAATTATTAGCGCTCTTTATTTGAATTTTCCGGAATGTCATAATATTGTACCTTGTGATCAAAGTCGCGATAAAATTAATCGTGTTTTGTACGCGCGTCATATTCACTGTGTGTGATCAAGATATTGGCCACCTGTAGTATTCATGCGATCTTTTTGTTTAGACGAACACGTTCTATTTCTCAGTTCTCATCATCGACCCTACGCTCTGGTAGAATTATGCTTATTTGCTTGCACGCTTCAACATTGCGTACATACTCAACAACATACCTAGATAGCCTCCCAAAATTGACGTGTACTTTACTTCCTGTAAAGTATTTATTCCCTTCGCAACAATAAATATAATTGGTTTTTTTTTTTTCAGTTTTCTTTTAATTCTTATCATTACGAAGTGTACAGTCAAGAGCACACCAAGCCTGACTGCTTTCGACCCTGTACCTCGGAAGACATTACATGTATCCTATAATCTTAGTTTAATGCCCCTTGGGAAACAATAAAAAAATGTTTCTCGGCAACTATTTAAAAACTTCATGAGGCCGTTTTCGTGTAATGAGGAGGAGTCTACATTTTTTTCCTTTGGGCCGTTATTAATTTTACACCAACCCGTATAAAACTTGTTTTTAGTATGTGCGCGATAATGAAGCGCGTTCACAAAAGTAGCGCTTATCACCAGAAATAGAAATAGCTAGAATATATTTCGATAAATTTTAAGAAAGTAACACACATAGATGGAATAACACCCCCCTGAAATCCCAGAATTTCTGAATTGTATATTTTTAAATTGTAAGTCATGTAATGGCAATTACTACAGTAGAGTATTTGATTTATTACGAAGTTTTGTAATTGAAGTAAATTTTTACTAATTTAGTAGATAAAGTAGATTTTTTTTAAATCATTTGATTTTGTTTCGATTTTTTACTTCCATTATTCCGAGATTTCAGAGGAAGGTAATACTTGAAGTTTACTGTGCTTAGTCTGATTACTGTTTATCACAAGACTGGATTTGTTATCGGTATCGTAAAATTATTGCCTCTCCTCTCTGTCTATAAGTTCTGTGCCAAACACTTCGTCGGTATGTAGTTGTTTGTTTGTGATCTTGTAGGTTCAAACAGTTATGTTTAAGCCCTAAGGTTTCACTTGTAACAGCATCCATTTTTTAGAAGAGATACGACAAGTAACAAATAATTGTTCCATGAATTGCAAATTTCTGTCTGCTACTGTCGATGGCGCCGAGATCAATAAATGTAAATTAATATTCCGCCAGGTTCAATATTTTTCTCTAAGTTTCCCTTGACCTAAGTAGTTTGTACAGTAGTGAGAAGGTAATTATGGATTGATACATCGTGGACTTTTAAATTAATACAAGAGAGAAAGAGTTGGTAATAAGGTCTGTCAACGTCGCCGTTGGGTTTCCTACGTCAGGACGAAACCCATAAGTGCAATATGTCTATTATTCTTTTTATTCGTAAAGACGATTTTATTGGTAGGTCAATGCTATTATTCAATTACCAATAACGTTTATATGACAGATTGATTGTGCGATGGTTCATTAATGTCCACGTTACTGGATTAATTTAAGGTATTTTCTTGTATTAAAAGATACGTCTAAAAATACATATTGTTACTGAAATAAAAACTTCCTAATTAAGAAAAAAAAATCTTACATAATTAGGAAGGTACATTTCTAAAGGTCTTAATAATAATCAAATAAATGTGAGTTATGTCGCTTTATGAGCAAAAATATGTATTCAAAGGATTATTTGAAAAATATGTTTAGATAATAAATAAAATATGTCACTCCCTTGTAACATACCAATTTTTTTTTATAATAAAATCTATCATTTTCGCACCAATGAACCATCGACCTAATAAATAATGGACGTAGTAAACCATCAATGTGCTGAACGTTCGACTAAGTGAAGTTCGACCTAATGAACATTCGTTATATTGAATAATCGATTATTTGACCATTCTGTCAAGAGTCTTCGTACTAACGTGTTTTGGCCGTGAAACTCGTCAGTCGATCACACGCGCACGCGCACTCACACACATACACACACACAACGTGATCAATATGGGATCAAACATGTACATCCCCACACATGATCAATGATTAATCAAATAACTTGCATTATTATGTCTATTTTAAAGAATAAGTTAATAAAAACTCCTATAGACCTAAATTTCGAGTTGTCAACACAATGTTATCACTAGCTTTGTTAGCATTATCTTATTGTAGCAGATCAATCTGAAAAAGGTACTATTTTTACGATATTCCTCAAATATTCCCAAATGGGAATGGGAACTGGCGATGGCGGTCCCCAATATTTTCGTTATGTTGGCAATAATGATACAGCCATTACTTGGTCTCCCCGTTTGTTAACAGGACAATCGCCTTCCACGGCATTGAAAGTAAAATCTCTATTGTATAACTGCATCCTTCTCTAGCAAACGCCCCATGCTGAGTGCCCTGCCTACATTGTAAAAGTGTAAGTAGTGTTTTAGCCAAAAACTACTCTAATTTAACCTAAATCACGTCACGGCCACGCTTACGGCTACCGACTCCTGATAAATCTAACTTTGTACTCAATAATATAATCTCAAACACTTGCCACGTCCCACCAAAATTTACGACCGCCTTTTTAATTAGGCTAAAAGAAATGTTGAAAATTCAATCCGACCGTAACGCCCGCGACATAAGCCAGTTTTCATTTTCAGAGTTACTCAGTAATTTGGCATAGAGATGATTCTACAGGAATTGCCGAGCCGATTCTTGGATAGAAAGTCGCTAGGCGTCCCGCCACGTAGGATCGGTCGCGTGGCCGTTCAATCGCAGTGACGTCGCAACAAACTTTAGAAGACGTCGTTTCGGTATTCCTCGGCCGGTGCGTAATTGATAAATTGCAGCAAATGTACGCAGTAGGAGAGCGAGGTGTGCAGAAGGTGTCGCGTCGGTCTTTGGTAGCGAGCGATCGCAGCAGAAGCCCGTCGCTCGACGCGGATCACTTGGACGTCAGGAACATGATCAGCCTGCGAAAGATCAGACGCGCGGGTCAGGCGAGCCGGCGACCGGCCGAGCGCACGCGGCAGCGGGTACCTGAAGTGGATGGCCTTGTTGGAGAGCAGGCGGTTGGTGTCGGCGGCGTCCAGCAGCGGCAGCGGCAGCGGCGGCGCGTCGGCCGCGTCCTCGCTGAAGGTGTGGTGCGCGATGCGCGCGCGCACCGCGGCCTCGCCGTAGGGCCCGCGCAGCCACACCCACTGCAGCCCCAGCGCCGCCATGGACTTGCTCTTCAGGATGAGCTGCGAGACGCCCGGCCCGAAATTCGCAGGTCAGTCGCCGGCGACTCGGACCGCCCGCCCGCCGCGCCGCGGCCTCACCTGGTACGTGATCTCCCGCTGCGAGCTCTGCGTGGGGTCCCTCTGGTTCTTGTTGATGAACGCCTTCACCACCCACTGCTGGCCGAAGGCGGAGAAGCGCGACGTCTCGTAGTACAGCTTGTGCACGAACTCCTCCGTCCGGTAGGGCTTGAGCTGCAGGTCTGCGACAGACTCGGGGTGTACGGGCGGCCGGCTCGCGGGCGGGGCGGGGCGGGGCGGGGCGGGGCGCGGGCCTACCGTTGATGGTGATCTTCTCGTAGGAGAAGAGCTCGAAGAGCTGCGTGTAGACGGCGCTGGCGCGGCCGCGCTGCGCGTCGCGCTCGGCCAGCACGGGCACGACGTCGGCGGCCGAGCGCAGCGGGTGCGCGCACTGCGCCTCGTGCGCGCGCGCCTCGTGCGCCGGCCCGCGCCAGCCGCAGCCGATGACCGCGAACTGGCAGCCCGTCAGCCTGCGAAGCGGCGCGGTCAGTGGGGCCGGGCGGCCGGGGGACCGGGGGGACCGCGGGGACCGGCGCCGCTTGCGGCCCGCGGGCGGCGCCCGGCCCGG